TGTACTTTTCACATAAATATAACTACACTATTATTTTATTTAAATAAAATATATGATTACAAAAAAAAAATGTTATTGGAATATGCTTCTATAATTATTATGTTTATTTTTTTTCATAGGTTAAGATTATTATTTTTTAATATATGAAGATACAATATTTAAAATATTGAGATTTATATATATATATTTTTCTAATTACAACATTATATACACATAAATATATGTATGATTTTTGGACTTACTAAATATCAAAATTGAGATCTTAGAGAGAACTTTGACCTCCAAAAGGTTTGTGATACGGCAATGTCTTGGGTTGTAGGATGAGGGGTAAAAAACTCCAAGAGAATCTTGCACATGCAAACATTTGAGAAATCAAGGATCAAAATTCTAGTATTATCTCTGAAAATAGGACAAAATGAATTGAGAAGATCAATTAGTGGAATAAACCTCATGTTTTTGGATAATTAGTGTGCCTGAAGCAAAAGAAAAGATTCTGCATGACCATCTAAATTAGTTATGATAGAGAATGCAAGAACAAAGTGCCTAGAAGAAAGTCTTTAGAGATGAGGAAAATGAGAGGTGAGAGGACACCTCCCTAACCTGTGGCCTTACCTGAAAGAGGAAATAGAAACGAAACCCTATCACCAATCAGAAAGGGAGAAACGAACAGTACACCTAAGGCAATAGTTTCCAGTAGTTGATCCAGCTCCATAACCCAACTGCTCTAGTGCAACTCAAATTTGTTTTGACCACTATGTAACAAAAGGACAAGGTTCAGAAAGAAGACACCATAATCATTTAGCCAGGAAAGCAGGTTTTTGGACACTGGGTTCCCAATGCCAAAAGTCACATCCCTTTTTGATTGGCAACAAATCTCTCATCTAATCAAATGATCCCAAAATGGCTCTCCCACCTAAACAACAAAAAATCCCTCATAGTCTATATTCTCTCAGTTATACCGACAAGATTCTAAACAGAGGCAAAAATTAAAGACAACAAGGACTTAAACAAGGATTGCCCCCAAGAAGGACTGCTAGATAGCATAAATTGCCATTTCAAGATAGTGCACCCAATGATATCAACCAAACATCTAATAACATGCTCCTGTACATTTGTGCTTGTTGAACTCTTTTCTCAAATTAATACGGTCAAACAATTCATTTTTCCCAATTATCCTTAAAGTTTAAGCTTAG